TTCATTGCAGATGTGATTGACGTCAATTAAGGTTTCCTCTGCCACTGCCCAGAGCTTCTTGAGAATATTACAGCATATGTGGCAGATACCAGATCCCATTTCACAAGGCTCTTGTTGATAATTATTGTTCCTTGTCCCAAAAGGTGACTCTCGTCCACCCCAGTGAGGAGGTCACGGTCCTGCGAAAACTGAACCTGGAGCAGCCAGACGGAATATACTTTCAAAGCATCTTTCGCTCAGGCCGGGTTTCCGAGACTACCACATGTAATGTGTGTCTCAAAGCGCCCAAGGAAAAATTGTGCAACTTCACAGACCGCTACACAGGTGAGCCCTGGTTCTGCTACAAGCCAAAGAAACTCAATTGTGACTCTCGGCTCACCCACGCCAAAGGAGGTTTCAATAAAAAACTGACACGAATGGAGGAGAAACTCTTCCAAAGGTAAAATGTAATAATAATTTATAATCAACCTTCTTTGGCGTGTAAAAGTATAAGTGGATGTGTTTGCATAATGTCCCAAAAAGATCATGTCCAAATCCAGGAGGTTTAGTCATGTTTGTTTTTAAACTTCACATACCTTAAAGTCATGCAAATACACAGGCAGGTGTGTCTGTAGATCCAGATATTGGACAGACTTTTGGAGTACCGTGGCATCATTACCTGTGCTCTTTAAAATTGCTGAAAGCATTTAATGATTCTTATGTTTTTGTAAACCTTTCAATTTGAACTAATTTTCTTTCACATAATCTAAACCAGGAAATAATTGATGTGATTCAATGTCAAACTGTGAACGATGTCGGGTTCAGATCTGTTTTCAACTGTATCAGTGTCAGGAATTAGGACAGAGAAGCTAGACGCTAACTGCATTCCTAGTTAGTGTCTAGATGTAGTTAGCGTTCCCGCTGACTACATCTAGGAAGGTAGGAAAGACATGACTTGTTTCATCAATCAAATTTGCTTTGCTGTAGTGGAGTCAACATGAAAGTGTCAATTCCGGCATCAGGACTCTCCAACATCACCATCTCACCAAAACCTCAAGGTACAACCCACTTTCTACCTGTTACTCCATCATGTTGTGTTGTATGATTAATAAGTCAGAACACAATCTTCAAATTTGATGTAATTTTCTCTATTTTTTCAATGACTTTTTTAAATGCCATTTCATGAGGATTTTTGTACATGACTGTTTTTGTGTAAACTCCATTCTTGTCTTACAGAGGAAACCAATCAGAATATAAAGACCAAGCCTGCTGGTTACTACTACCAGGGTGTATGGCGAGCACTGGACGGGACCAGGGTCCTCCAGTTCAACACGTCCACAGCAGTCAGTCAGTGTCTGAAAGGCAAGGTGCTCCACCTGTATGGAGACTCCACCATCAGGCAGTGGTTTGAATATCTAACAGAATCATTACCAGGTAGATGTCCAGAAGAAATGTGTGCCAACAGATTGTTTTGTTTTGCCTCCCCTCTTATTTGTTTCTCTCTGTTATAGGTCTCAAGAAGTTTGACCTGAAAACTCCAAAGCAAAATGGACCATTCCTGGCGTTAGACCCTGAAAACAACATCTTAGTGACGTTCCGCTGCCACGGTCCTCCCATCCGTTTTGGCACCATGCCTGCCAATCAAGCGCGTTACATCGCCAGTGAACTGGACAGTGTGATTGGAGGCAAAGACACTGTTGTAGTTATTGGAGTTTGGTCGCACTTCAGCACTTTCCCTATTGAGGTCTACATCCAACGTCTGCTGAGCATACGAAGGGCAGTGGTGCGGCTGTTGACCAAAGCACCGGGTACGGTGGTCATCATCAGGACCGCAAACCCCAAAGCGCTGACAGTTTACGAGACTGACAAACAGTGACTGGTATTCCTTACAGCGTGATAAGGTCCTCAGGGAAATATTTAAAGGGGTCAATGTCCAACTGGTGGATGCCTGGGAGATGACTATTGCGCACCACCTGCCACACAGCCTCCACCCATAACTTCCTATTATAAAGAATATGATAGATGTTATCTTGTCCCACACATGCCCTGCTGCTGGTAGCTCTGAAGGGGAAACAAAGCTTTAGAAATGGTTTGGGGTGGGTGTTCTGGTGCAATCTCTACCAAAAATTTAACTGTTGGTTTGTCGTGAGAAATTTTTCTAAAATTCTATGTTCAGCTAACATGGCATTTCAGAAAAAGAAATCTTACTTTCAGTAAAACACGGTGGTGGTAGTGTGATGATCTGGTGCTGCTTCAGGGCCTGGTGAACTTGTTAACTCATGGAACCATAGTTCTGCTCCTTAGCTGAATATTCAGAAGGCAACAGTCTAGCCATCAATGCAGCATCATCACCTCAAGAGTATTTCTGTTGTGCATCAGGGAAATCAATTAATAAAAGACCAGCAACTCCATCTCTGAAAGACCATTGAGGATAGTTCATCTGAGGCGCAAAAACAATGATTGTTTTGATGAAAACCAATGATTAGGAACTCGGATCCACCTAAAAACCCTCGGTCTTGGTCCAGCTGAAGTGAACTCTGATGCGGTTGGAAGGCAGTGAGAATGCAACCTTTAATAACGCAAGAATTTTACAGAATCTCAGAGGTTTCTGCAACACAGTCTGCTACAGGGACTTCAGAGAAAGGCTAAGACTATCTATAGTTACTCTTTAAAAAATAACTTGAACAATAAACAATCATGTCATCCATCTGTTACGTCCACCAGGCTCGTTTGATGGGGTAACATTAAAAGGAGACCACACAAGGATTTAGTAACTTAATGAAAATAGAATTTATTAAATTATATTAAAGAAATAACCCTGACAAAAGAATACCTGAAATGAGAAACCAAAATAGATTAAAGCAGAACCTATAAGTGACCAGAAATAACCAAATGCTTAAACAAACCTAACAAATTTCAACCAAAAGATACAAACCAAACCAAATGGGGTTCTGAGGAGAGAGAAGGGAAAAGCCTTTCTGACTGCTGCATGCCTGGCAGTTTTAAAGCTGCAGAACACCAATCAGGGCAATATGCATCACCTGCAGAGACCTGTCTGCAGAACCCTAAAAGGAAAAAAGGGCAGAGACCCACTGAAGCCGTAACACATCATATAAAACATGTATGCATCAAACAATTGTTGCTCTTTCTTTGGGATGTGTGTGTGTGTGTGTGTGTGTGTGTGTGTGTGTGTGTCATAGTGTTTGGAGTATGTTAACATAGAAAGTCCTTACAAGCAAAAATCTGAATCTTCAATAAAACACTCCTGCAGTATGTTGAATAAAATTTACTCTTATCACAGTTCTTCCCTCCGTGGTAATTTGAACAAGTTCAAAAGCCCTCATTGGATAAGCGGCATAAAACATGAACAATGT